TTTGTGTGTGTGTGTGTATATGTATGTGTGTGTGTGTGTGTGTGTGTGTGTGTGTGTGTGAGTGGGTGTGTGTGTATTAAGTGTTACAACCTCTGGTATGCCCAAATATGGGAGGAAGTTCACTACTTCCATTCTCTGTCATCGGCTCATCACAAGAGACCATCCAGACAGAAACCCAATATTTTTACTGTTGCCTTTGTTACATTTGTGTTGTATTTGTGCTGATAGATAAATAAAGGGAGACTAGTATAGATCTATTTCAAGCTATTTAGCTCTCATCAGCTAGCCATACCCTTACTGGGAATCGAACCTGTGCTGTATGTATGTATGTATGTATTAGGGACGCGGTGGCTCAGTGACTAAGCCGCTGAGTTTGTCAATTAGAAAAGTCGGCGGTTTGAATCCCTAGCGCCGCGTAACACATGACCACGGAGACGTCTTCGGACAGCGCTGGCTCTTTGGTTTTGAAACGGAGATGAGCACCGCCCCCTAGAGTCGGGAACGACTAGCACCTATGTGTGAGGGGAACCTTTACCTTTAGCTAAGTCATCTTCAGCCACGGATGCTCCTTACGATACTTTTGGACGGTCGCTTCCTTCTCTGCCCATCGGTTCTGCGTGGAATAGCGGGGAAGATACTGAATCAGTTCTAGTCCTCCCTTTCCCACAGAGGTTCTACGGGCGTTTCTGGACCAATCTCTTGAAAATCAGGGAGACAAGCAACTTGGAATTCAGGAGAAACTTCCTCACCGTGCGAACAAATAATCTGTGGGACAACTTGCCTCCAGAAGTCGTGGGTGCGCCAACACACTTTTAAAGAAGATACTGGACAGCCATTTGCCTGAAATGGTATAAGGTCTCCTGCATGAGCCAGGGCTGGACTAGAAGACCTCCAATGCCCCTTCTAGCTCTATTCTGATTCTGAGTGTCTTTGCCAGCCCAACCAAGCTGCCCTTTTTCTGGAGGAAAAAACATTAGGAAGGCATGTCACCTTCAGCTCCTGAAAGAAAGCTGGAAAAGCAATCAAACAATTAAACACACAAAAAAACCGGGGAAAACCAACACCTACATCTTTTTTTCTCTTTTCTCTTCCCTCTCCGTCATGACCATCTCGCAAATGGTCATCCTTGGGAACGTAGCGTTTGTCCACAGTCACTTTTAAAGCTTTTATTACCGGTCAGAGATGGCGTCCGTCCGAATAGCCCATCTCCAAGCCCCGTAGACTACTAGGCAATAAAACCCCTTGTGCCATATATCACCGGCAGAGAATGGCAGCCATAGCTGGGATGGGCTGCCGTTCACGCCACAATAGCCAACGCCGCACATTGAAGTCGCCTCCGCGTTAGCGGGGAAGGTCTTGAGGAAGGCTGAAGGGAGATGCCGGCACATGGAACACGCTTCCATTGTGCTAAAGTCCACATCTGCATCTCTAATCCGGTTCTGGCACCTGCAGTAGGCGTGTAGCATGACACGCCATCTGCAGCCTGGGTGCACGCTACAT